GCCACGCATACTCCAGAAATCCGACCTCGATGCCGCTTTCTCGCCCTTCGATCTCAAGCGTCTGGACAGCTACGCCAACAACCTCCTGGACTACCACGTCATCCTGGATCTGGTCCCCGCTCTCTCCGACTACTACTTCGGTAACCGTCTCGATGGCAAGGTCAGCCTCTCGGGCGTGCAGCAGTCCATCCTCCTCGCCATCGGCCTGCAGCACAAGAACCTCGACGATCTCGAGAAGGAGCTGAACCTCCCCTCCTCCCAACTCCTCGCCATGTTCCTCAAGATTGTCCGCAAGATTTCCACCCACTTCCGCAATCTTATCGAGAACGATATCGAGCAGTCTCTGCCCGCACAGAAGGTTCGTCTCGAGACCTCTGCCGCTCACGACGACGAGCCCGAAGTCAACCTTCAGCCCCTGCCCGTCTCTCTCGAGGATGAGCTTCGCGAAGGAGGCAAGAAGATCGACGAGGAGATGCGCGCCAAACAGCGTGCTCTAGGCACATCAAACCCGTAAGTTTCAATCCCCTTGCCTGTCTATCGAAACAACAATAACTGATTTCCAGCCAGTGATGGACCTGATAGCTCTAAGCCTTCTAAGCGCAAGAAGATCGAGACTGCGCGTGACATCTACGACAAGGAGATTGACTCGAAGAGGCAAAAGATGATCAAGAAGGGCACCGAGGGCCGCAAACAGCGCTGAATGATTTAGGTTCTGGACAGTTTTCTTTTTGCATTAATGTACGGTGTTCGGTTTCTTGGGTCTAAAAAGACTTGCTTGTGTCTAGTATTTGTCTGTATTCAAGGTTCATCTTTCCACAGGATATTCGTCTCTTGTACATACATATGAATCATGTGTTTATCATGCCTACAACATTTTTTTCCGTAGAGATAGATGGGATATGTCCTAACGGCTTGATGCATTGCCTACATAAGCTTATGCGATTCGCTCTCAAAACTCACAAAAATTATTTCTAGATAGAGGTCAACAAACTAGCATCAGCCTCTTCCAGGGACAATGAACTAATCAAAGCTCATCATGCTCCACGGCCTCGGCCTTAGTCTCAGCCTCTGCCTCGACCGTCTCGGCTTCAGGTTCAACCTCAGCTTCCGCCTCAGGCTTTACCTCGGCCTCGGGTTCAGCCTCAGCCTCAACACCAACAATACCCTCAGGCAACTTCTCCTTAGCACCCTCACCCAACCGAATCCCATCAACCCAAGACTCAACAGCAACAGCCCCAAAGTCCGCATCGGCACCGCTGAACCGACGCCACCAGCCACGGCGCGCATTCAACGCGATAATCTCAACCGTCTGGCCATCCGCCAATGCCAATGCCTCGCGCAGAGTCTTGGACCCAGTATTGATAGCAGGGACAGCATACAGCGGGAAGAGATGCGTTCCGCGCTGGACGTGCTTGTGGCCGATCTCAGCGAGGCTCGCGAGCGCCTCGTTGGCAGACGCTGGGAGCGCGGCGTCGGGCTCACTCGCCTCGGGGAGAATTACTAGCACACAGGTGCCGGACTTTGGTGCGAGACAGGCTGCCTCGAGGGATTCGGGGGTGGAGAGGGTTGGGATTGGGGGCACGGGGATGGGGACCTGAGCGGGCTTGACGGAGGGGTCTGTTGTATCCTGGTCCTGGGAGGCGGTGGGTTTGAGGTCTTCTGCGTCGTCGGCGACAGAGGTGGGCTTAGAAGCGGGCTTGGACTTTGACTTTGGTTTCGATTTGGGCTTGTCGGAGGCGGAGCGGGACGACGCGTCTGGGTTGGGTGTCGCCGCTTGACTCAGGAACTCGGTGATGGGCTTCTTCTTCAGCTCGCCGGTGTAAATTTTGTGCTCGGCGTCGGTGCTGGGGATGAGGACGAGTGCCGGGAACTCGGTGACGCCGTACTTGTTCACGGCGACGGATTCCTTGTTCCGTACTTGGGCGATGTCAATTGCGCCGAGGAAGTCGATTGCCAGTGCGCGAATCAGCGCGCCTGTTGTGCCCTTCTCTGTGAAGAGGATGGCTTTGGGTCGGTCCTCGTTCTGTCCAAGCCATTTGTCCAGGTCCTTGTCTGTTGCGCGCTTCACGTGGTTGGGGATGTGGTCGACGACTGCATCGACGATACCTTTGGCGGTGCGCGCGCCTTGGTAGTCTTCGACCCGGGGCTTTCCGGGCTTTTTGGAAGGTGTCACGATCTTCAGGGTCGGGAAACCCTGGACACCCATCTGTCCGCAGAAGGGTTTGTTTTCGTCATCGTCGCAGTTGATTGCGGCGACTTTCGCGAGTCCATCGAGGTTTTTCGCGGCTTTTTCGAAGGCAGGCTTGAGGTTCTTGCAATGGCCGCACCAGGGCGCGTAGAATCTAAGTGAAAATGTGAGTGAAGGTCGGAGGGGAGAGGCAGAGAGCTAGATAGCTATAGTGCGGGACAGCTTACTCGACGATCTATGGAGTAGCCAACCATTAGTCGATTTCGCACACTTGAGAAGACTGTGAACACTCACTGAGGTATGATTCGAATTCGCAATAAGCGATTTGTAGGTTTTGGGGTTCAACTGGATCACCGGCGAATTCTTAGTGTATAGTCCATCGGCGTTAACAGGCAGTGCCGCAAGGAGCGAGACAAGCAAAAGACTGGCGCTGTGCAGCATGGCGAATTGTCCAAGGGTAATCTCAAAGCAAAGGTGATATTCAGCAAAGAAGCCAAAAACGAACAAAGACACAGAAAAGGCAGATGGTCGGATTTACGCAAGGTGTCCTGAAGCTCTTGGCGGTCTATACTGTCTAGGTACTAGTAACTAATGAATACAAGTATACTAAAGTTATCAAAATACCTCAATATGCATTTTATACGTGGATTAGTAGAATGAAAGGATATGTCAAAAGATCTAACTCTTGAAACTATCAAAATAATTACTTAAACATCCTATGGACTTATACGGAGTACATCTCAGCCTCCGTCCCTTTTTCTCTTCGATAAACACCACCTAGCAATGGCCAGATCAGAGGAGAGCCATGACGTGGCCTTTCTACCTCCCGAACTCTTCTGGATAATCCTGGGCTATTTACAGCCAAAGGAACTAGTCCGTTGTCGCCGCGTCTCACGTGCCTGGAACGAAGCCTTCAGCAACCCGACCATCCTACTTCCACTCCTAAAGAAACATTACCCATGGACAAAAGAAGTCAAAAGCCTCCGCAAAAACACATTTTCTGATAAGCAACACCAAGGTCGTCGTCTTTTCGACCAGGTCGCTTCACGATACCATCACCTAGAACGAGGCAAGCCCCGCTCTATCCAGAAGTACCGCCTCTGCGATGACTTTGGCAGCGGTGGAGACCGTGAATGGTATCAAGTGCAGCCATGGGAGTCACACGCTAGTCATATGAGGCGCTTCATTGACCGTCAGTTCGCTGAGGCTTTATGGAGTTTCGAAGATGGCCTAGTAGTCTACCCCAGCGCCGACCATCAGTTTCTCGTGCTCATGGATTTGGAAACAGACCGGCAGTTCATGGTACCGTTTATTATTCGTGGCAAAGTCATTCGTCGAGTGCGTCTGCAGAAGCGCTTGCTCGTCGTTGAGTGGGCTGAACCGAAAGCCTTTCACTGGTTGAATGATAGCGACGGCGTGCATCGTCACTTTGCCTCCTCCTTTGATGTGACGAGAAATGAGAAGCAGGGCTGGGATATCGTCCCACGCAATGAATGGAAGATTATGTTTCTGGGCCATCCGCTGAGCGAGCGAGATCGGTTCTTCTCCTCGCATAGCAACACCCACTATGTGATTTATATATGGCAGCCAAATCGCAGCTTGTATACTTCCGATGAGGATGCGCCCATTGAGTCTTTGTCTGTCTGGGACATATCGAAAAAGTCCTCATACCGACCTTCATTGGATCCCACCGGACGACTGAGAGACGACTCACCTGATGACTGTCCATCGATCGTGGCACGATTCGGATTCCGGGACCTGGAATTTTTCGACATCCGACAACGAGGCTGTCCAAGTATTCAACGATTGGATATTACGGATGATGCCCGGGCCGTCGAAATTACAGAAAACGTTTGCATCCGGCCGGAAGACCAACCGCCCGAGCCATTCGGGTTTCCTCAACCTATTACTACAAGCATTCCTATGGTAGGAAATGGGCCTCACTGGCGCCGGGATTTCGAGGGGATTCTGCCGCCTTATCGTGGTAACTGCAGCATGCAGGCAGAAACTATGAGGTTCGATGGGTTCATCATGATGGACCCTTGGTATGGTGTTATTGCTCAGGTGACTATACTCGAGCCTGATCTTGGCTTTTGCCTTCACTTCGACCCTTGGACGTGGATCCAGGATCAAATTGTTCATTTGACTATCCAGACACCTCGCTCGAGTGTTACCTGTGATAATTGGGATTTTGTCGGCAGGGGGAGGCTTGCTGGTTGTGAGAAATATTTGGTTGGTGAGAATTGCAATCGCGAGCTAGTGATTTACCGGTTTGATAGATGAATTGAAGAGTCTTGTGTCATGCTATGAATGATGATATATGCCATGCAAGATTTCATTTCTGTTACGCTTACTTCGATTCACCTCTGCCTTCCCGATGCCTACTATCAATCTCTCATCCTATTTATTATATACCTCTCAACAAGCAAACCAAACAGAAGGGGTAATCGCCTGGTCAACTATCTGGCCAGAATTGGAGCCTGCTGAAGTGTGATAGAAAATAAAAATGTATGCTCCAACACTATCCCAATCGGCATGGGATTTGGCGGTGCGGTTTGTCGACACATTAGCAATACACACATGTAAATAATCAACTCGACAAGCGTCTTCAAGTTCATATGTATCCATTTTTGCGGGCCTTCTGAGCTGGCGAATAAGAAAACAAAGCTAGGCCCTCTATGCAAATTAGCATGCAACTATATTCTTGGCAAGACAATCTTTCAGCCCCATGGCTGTGTAAAACATGCCTAAAGGAACCCTGGTGTAAATTCATATTTTGTTACTCTACCCCAGATCCCAACGGGCACTGACAATGCTCACATATGCGTTATTCGCGATCTTGCTGGCCCTGCCAGTGGTCCACGCAGGAGGCTGGGATGACTTTTCGAACAATCTCGCGACCGACCTCGCGCCATTTCTATCCCTCTTTGGTGAACAGATCACGAAGCAGTACCTTAGTGAGAGCATTAATGTAGTCGATTACTTCATTTTTGCCATGGCCCCGATGGGCATCTTAACAGGGGTCGTCTCTGCAATTCGAGTGTGCGGAACCCCGTCACTACGCGCCTTCATCGGCAGAGCTCAAGAAGGAGCGGGCAACGCGGAGGCGGAGCTATACACCTCGACAAGCCGGGATATATGTGAGCTCTATAACAGTGGTGGTATCGCGCGCGTCTTTGGTCGTCCAAAAATTCTCGAGGTTGTTCACGACCCGGATCATGATTTCAGCGGTCCGGAAAACGACACAGTAGGTATATACACATTTCAGTAATACCTTGAACGAGATAAAGGTAAGACCCTATGGCGAAAGGTAACACCTAAGAACCGTATCTCGCTATAGAAGAACAAAGTCATAGCACTATGGAAAACGAACATAGTGGAGGAGTCTAACACTAAGGTAGCCACTAAATCGCCCGATATATCGCCCGATATACCCTTCACGACATTTGCTCCGAATCTCTCCCTCAATATTAGAATTAAGAAATAGTCTAAGTATGTCTTCTACGCAATCGCTCTTCTTAGCCTAGGTCTGCAAGTTAGCGTTTTGATTTTTGCCGGCTTTGCGACGTATTACCTGAAATAGGGCAACGACGATAAGCCCCTAGAGTCTTATATATGCCCTCTTATTATTATCGGGACTATTCTAGTCTATGGCGGAATGTTTTATTGCGTATTTCTAATTAGCTAGAGCACCGAGGAGGATGTCTAGCGTAGATAAGAAAATGTCGACGATAAATCGTCAATGTATTAGATATAGCCCGGTGGTTAGATTATCGGTGATTAAACCTTTGATGCCTTCTTATACATAGACTATAATAACAAACTTAAGAAATATATAACTTCTAGGAGGAAGAATGAGTCTAACGAATCGAAGCTTAGAGTTTGGGCAGCTATTGGGACCACGATCTCCGGCTTTGTCTTATAATTTACTGGCCTTAGAGGTATACATTCAGCGGTCTCTATCGCTTAGTTGGGAGTCATTATAGTTATGAGCATAGCTCGCGCTATGCTCCGTATGCAGCGACTGAAGCCTAAAGACAATTGCTTCGCCACATTTCTAGACGAGGTCGTTAGCCACGAACTCGACTGGCTCGCCTTGCGCATTAGCCGTGATATTTTTGGGACAGATACTATTAACCCGAATTCAGCGTTATTAGGATCATCGTCTTCCACAACGTCATCCAAAGCACTATCATCTACTCTATTAAGCCCCGGTGATCAAGATCGGCGCTTCTAGAGGCTCTATGGTGCGAATAAAATGAGCATCGAGCACCCGTCTCCTAGCGATCGTTGGAATGCTACTGCTATCTTATTGGCATATCGAACCCGACTGACGTCGCTCACGGATTTATCTAAGTCGTCTACCGCCCCCGCCAGGGAATTTAAAAGTGAAATGGTGGAGGTCCGAAGCGAGAGTCGATAGATAGCTGCGCTGATTAAGGCTACCATCAAAGCAATTCTCTCGAAGGCCAAGATCAAGAAAGAGTGGGAGACAGCCTTATCTATGTTCTGGGGCATCGATTGCGCTATTGGTAAATAAGCCAACCTATCCTCGACACCCTAGAAGCACACAGTATATCTAGAATTCACCTAAGATTCCGCCGCTCTAGGAAGCCCCTGGGTACTCAAAGAAAGATAATAGCTAGAGGGTATCCTCGGTCTATGGGTCTGGTCATTGAAGTCTGATCCGAGAATAGAGACTAAGGACCAATAGACTAATCTTATAAGGTCTACGGCGAGTGAAATTAGGGCACGACGTATCATTCCAACCGACTAGGTCATGAAACCGGACTTGGAGATATAGCTTGGCGCTAATATGAAAACCATCACGAAATCCGCTCTACACTTCTACACTCTGCACCCACTGAACTACGCGACGCGAGTGCTATATGGAAAATGTCGATAAATCCGGGGGTAACGGATGTTTATCCTATCAGCGAGCGTGTACTAGGTGTACCTCTTCGTTTCTTTGGTTGGAAAACTGCGAATCTGTCGCAGAGTTAAGACCCCGAGGGAATTAACCTATGGTCCGCCCCAATGATAGGTTCGCTTGTGACATGCTGTGCCTAGGAGATTTTTGCATTATTTCTCACAAGTATTCTTAACATTGTAGATAATTTTGGAGATGTTTATATTGAGGATGCTGAATTAATTAAGCTTGAGAACGGCCTGGTGTCTGAGATTATTGCACTTTTCACGGAAATGCGGTTGGGCTTAAAACTAGCAGCTCTACTTTGTGTGATACTATTGGTGTTACCTCGACTCGAGATGCCCTCTACAGAGAGTGCCTTAGCAGAAGCAAAGGAAAGCGTAAATCAGCATCGAGAATATAAGGATTGGAAGAAAGTAGAAAGGGTGCTACAATGGGCATAGAATATCTATAGGCAACCCTAGCATTCTCGTACACACGTGATTGATAAAGACTAAGATCACGAACCGGGCTCGGAAGGGACACTCTCAAAGTAAGCGGCAATTGCTCTATGTAAGCTATACCGGTGGGCCTTGATAGAGGATACCTCGAGGGCATTTGGCAAGGACGGAATCTCTAGGCTTAATGAGCAGAAATTAGACTAATCAGTATCTGCGCGAGAAGTTATTAAACGCTACTTTATTATTACGAATGAGATTGCACAATATTAACCCAGCGACGCTGATCTCGCTAGTATGGAAACGGAATCCTTGAAAACTGCACTGCTGTTTATCACCTATCCGGTATCTGAGATAGATAGAGAACAAAAAGGAAAAGCCCTTTGTTCAGCGGCGAAATATAGATGGGTGGAAGTGGCACTTTCGTTGATCGAATTAGGTTGCGAACCGGACTTTCGAGACATAGAGGGCAGAACACCCCTATCACACGCGGTAGAAAGTGGAAGCATCACCATTGTGGAAGGCTTGGTGAAATAGGGAAGTTTCCCAAACTCGGAGGATCATTATCAAAGGACACCATTGTCATACGCCTTAGGATCAGGTTTTTATGAAGTAGTTAAGCTGTTACTAAGAGATGCTCGTGTCCCCCCACAGCAAAGAGATGTTTAGCAGCAAACGCCGTTGTTTTGGGCGGTAGAGAACGGCCATGGCACCGTTGTCAAACGGCTTCTCGAGACCGGAAAAGTCGACCTAGACGTGAATATACTATCGCTGGCGGCAATGCACGGTTATAACGCCATTGTTGAACATCTTCTCGAGACCTACAAGGTCGAGCCAGACACGAAGGATAAAAATGACCGGACACCGCTATCACGCGCGGCAGAGAATGGCCATGATACCGTTGTTAAACGGCTTCTCGAGACCGGCAAAGTTGAGCCAGACATAAAGGATACGTATCGACAATCGACACCACTGTTATATGCGGCAATGAATGGCCATGACACTATTATCGCACAGCTTCTCGAAACCGGCAAAGTCAAGCCAGACACAATGGATAATAATTACCGGACACCGCTATCATACGCGGCAGAGAAGGGCTATGACACCGTTATTAAACTGCTTCTCGGGACCGGCGAAGTTGAGCTAGACAAATCGGTCTACTCTAGACGGACGCCGCTATCATATGCGGCCGGGAATGGTCATGACGCCATTGTTGAACTACTTCTCGAGACCGGCAAAGTCAGGCCAGACTCAACGGATAAGGATGGACGGACACCGCTATCATATGCGGCACAGAATGGCCATGACGCCGTTGTCATACGGCTTCTCGAGACCGGCGAAGTCGAGCCAGATGTGAAGTACTTTTCAAGGACACCGCTTCTCGAGACCATTAAAGTCAAGCCAGGCATAATGAATAAATGTGCACGGACACCGCTATCATATGCGGCAGAGCACGGTCATGACGCCGTTGTTCAACGGCTTCTCGAGACTAGCAAAGTCAAGCCAGATATAAAGTATGAATCGACACGGACACCGCTATCATATGCGGCAGGGAACGGCCATGACGCCATTGTTAAACGGCTTCTCGAGACCGGCAAAGTCGAGCCGGACACAAAGGAGAAGTATGGACAATTCACACCACTATTATTTGCGGCACAGAACGGCCATGACACCGTTTTCAAACGGCTTCTCGAGACTGGTCAGGTCAACCCAGACTCGATGAGCTCTTTTGGAAAGACGCCGCTGCAGTACGCAATGGAATATGGATACACCAGCATCGTGAATCTTATCGAGCAGTCAAAGAAGAAGAAAGGTCTGGAGGGCTAAATGTTTGCAACCATTGGCGTTTAATATGGCTGGGGTGAACGAGAGTCAGCTAGGTATTAAGAACGCTTTCGGCTCTGGTACGAGCGAGTAGAAGTATATGAATTCAAGTCGTGAGAACACATACAAAAGTTGTGCACGAAGTTTGGAGGCAACGACCAACAACAAATTGACCAATGTATTCTGGCTGACGCAGTGTTGTGGGACGGGGGATCATCTCATGTTGACTTATGATTTACAATGTTTGGCCTATCGAATGAACGTATATGATAGCTAAGGCTAAAGTTCTCGTCTGAAGACGAGCCCTCAGGGCCCAATTACACTTTTTGTAAAGATTTAGCTCGACTAAATTGCATCATAGGTCATGATCGGGATCTTGGATCTGAATACGTGATGAATGACGAGTGAGGTAGGAGGATAATGTCAATACCAGCAAAGCGGATGATGGTTTTTGTTGAAAAGGGTTGCAGACAAGAGCATGAAAGAATTAGTGATGGGAAGTAGTTTCTATTCCTTTCGTCAAATATAGGAAATGCGTCCGTTCGGACTTGGTCTTGGTTGCTCGTGTACTTCTCATATCTCATGTCCTAACTTGAGATTCCCTCCCGCTACTACATATCATCATGGCTTCTAACCCACTGCTTGTGAGCCTGGTGGCAATGGCCCAGATGGTGACAAGGAGATTGAGCATAAAGTCCTCGCTTGGCTGCCCCTGAGACGAACACAAAGATGGAAGATTCAGCTCGTAAGAGGTGCAAGAGAATAACTACAAGTCAAAGTGACTTCAAAGTGACTTCAAAGCGATCCGGAAGTGAATGTACAGGCACACCAGATATATATCCAGAAAAGAATAGTATCTGTTGCATAAGAAGGAAATGTATATTGGCCAGGGTTAAGTAAATTCAATGAAATTGGGTGAAAAGTCCACCATGATATTAGCAGTGATGTTTTTTTTTTCTTCAACAAGATAATAAGGCCGAAAGGGTCTCCTCCCAAAACCCCTGAGATATCCTTCCCCCTTTACGAAACCAGACCGAACAAACATAAGAGAAGAGGGATAAACAAAGAACAGAAAACGCATGTGATCCAACATGGGATCAATCACTACTCCTGCATACCAGATCTGAGGAGAGGAACATGACCAGAGAATTTACATCGGACGCAGGCCATCATACCACAGCCAGGGCAGGTGAGGATGTATGTAGGCAACCACATGTTGCAGATATTGCACACGGGACGGCAGAACTCCTTGTACCAGTATCCGAGATGGGAGCAAACCTTGGGATCGTTTCGAACTTTCATAGGCGATGCAGTAGGGACTGAAAGACGGACATCTTCCAACCAGCCACAATAGGTCTCCAGCACGAGGCCGTTTAGTTCACCAGCAAGGTCGTCAATAGTGTAGCGCCCACGGGGGTCGTCAAGCTTCTGCTTGAGGAATGAGACTAGAGGGCGCAATGAATCATGGCCCACCATGTATGAATTGATCAGTTTGTCAGCATCTGACTTGGAACTGCTGGTGGTAGATTTAGAATCGTTGGCGGTGGACTTGAAAGTCGAGTGCTCGTCGGCTGAATGAGTGTAGGTGGGGAATTTGCCATTTGAATCATCAGCGGTATACTTGAAGGTCGAGTGGTCGTTGCCTGAATTAGTGTAGTCGGGGGAGTTGACACCTGGATTCTCAGCGGTGGACTTGAAAGTCCACCGCCCGTCTGATGAATGAGTATCGTTGGAAGAGTAGCAACTTGTTGAGAAGTCGACGGATGAATCGTTGCTCGTAGCAGACTTAGGGCTGGAAATGCTATCAGAAGTGCTATTAGAGGAATCTGGAGAGTCAGAGTAATCTGGAGAGGAGCCGAACGCCTTGGCATATTCGTAGGCAAATGCGTCGAATGTGTCTGCAGGGTTGCAGGTCTTGATATCCTCTTCAGGCAGGACATCCGCGAAATGATTGAACTGATGGCCATAGCCAAAGTCGAAATCGTTCAAAACTCCCTCGACAATATGATCTTGCTCTTCCACGATATCTGCTAGATCACGCTTCATTCGAGCCCGCATGTTTTCCTTGCGACGCTCTGCCCATGCCTTCTGCACTTCTGGATCAATGCCAGCCCATTCGTTCTCCCACTGGGTATTCTCTGCCTGGAACTGTGCACGTTTTTCCTTGGATTCAGCTGAATTTGGGTCCATGTGTACACTTGTTCCATAACTGTAGTAGTAGCTGGGGCTGTACTGGCGTTGATTCGTTGACTTGCATTCATATGGTGACTCGGTAAATTGGCCTGGCCAGTAGTCGAAATCATATCCGTGGCGTTCTCGCTTTGATGAACGATGGCGATTGCCCCTGTAGGACCAAGGTGGTGTGTCGTCATCGGGATCTAGATGTCTCTTGGTCTTTTTTATCAGGGCCTCGTCAAGCAAGTGCCGGCGGTCTTTATCGCGGAGAAGCTCAACAGCATCTTGAATCTGTTTGCAATGACTTGTCAGCGATGTTCAACAACTTGATGTTGTGAGTATACTTTTCTGAATCGTTCAATGGTCGCAGCGGTGTTTCCAGCCTTGTCTGGGTGAAGCTTCAAGGCGAGCCGCCTGTAGGCAAGGTTGATATCCTGGATTCGGGCATTTCGCTCAACTCCCAGGATTGCGTAGGCATCAATGGTCACACCGATGGTCGACATGTTTGCTGTCATACAAGTCTTGATATTGAATATCAGTATTTTGTTATATGTGTGTGTAGGGCTTGAAGATAAATATTCGCTGACGGCATTTCAACAGTCAGGTAGAACGAGAGAGGGAGAGAGGGAGAGAGGGAGAGAGAGAGAGAGAGAGTAATGTGAGATAAATATGAAGGAATGTGGGCAATCAGAACATATCTGATGAGGAAGGTGTGGGAAACAGCCCCAAAGGACTGTTGGGATGAAGATGACTATATCAAAACTCACCGCACAAACGCAGGGAAATCAACACGGAAAGAAGGGCCAATGTAGAGGCCGGAGATAAGAGGAAATAATGAGGTAACAGAGAAGAGTATAGGAATAGAAAAAGCAGGAGTACGAGCTCTGAAGGTGAACAAGAGTGGAATAAAGAACAAAGACCACGCAGAGAGAATATCCATGAGATTGAACAGCAAGAAATAGATGGGCAGGGAAAGGATGGGAGAGAGGAAGAAGAGAATATAAGTATAGCGAGGACAAGAGGTGTCTTCCAAGGTTGAATAGACAATGCTATTGTAAGCCGAATCCTATTGATCAAAGGATCAGATCCATGAGAAGCTGTAAACGGCATGTGAGTATCCATACATGGCACAGTACCATCACATTTTTATATCAAACAAAGAACATCTCAAACAAAGAGGTTCAATACCTAAATGGGGTAGTCTCCAGGGTTAGGGCTATCCACAAGGACAGTGTGACCATATCCCCATTGGGTACTTTAAACCAACAGGATCCGAATGGCACTTTTTTGTTAACCTGAGTTAGGGCTATACACAAAGGCAAAGATTATACATAAGGAATTGAAATGGATTCACTCTGGTTTTACACAAGCTTAAGTTCGATCTAAATATGAACAAGTCTACACTAAGGTAACTTCGTCCTCTAGAATCAAATTAAGCCATATCGGCACTGGCAGTGGCACCGGTGATAATCTCAACCAGCTCGCTGGTAATGGTGGCCTGGCGCTGACGGTTGTACAAGATCTGGAACCTGGGGGGCTGTTAGAGTCGAATCTTAAAGGCATTACAGGTAAAACATACTTGTTGATCATCTCTCCAGCGTTCTTGGAGGCGTTCTCCATGGCGTTGCGACGAGCGGAGATCTCACAGGCGTGGCCCTCAGCCATGGCCCAGAAGAGGTTGTTGGCAAGAGAGTACTCGCGGAGGCTGGTCAGAACCTCATCGTCGACCTCGTAAGAGGAGATGTTGGCTACATTGGATGTTAGTTGAAACTCAATGAACAGCGTGTAATTAATTCTCACCGGACTGGGTGATAGCCTCCTCGGAGTAGGCCTCGAGGGAGACGGCCTCGTAGCTGGTAGCGTTGACGAAAGAGTTGTAGATGATGCGAACGCTGGAGTAATCCTCGGGCAGAAGAGCGATCTGGTCGGCAATAGCCTGGGCATCGGCAAAGGTGGGAATGTCCTTGCAGACGTTGGCGAAGCTCAGAACGATCTTCTCGGGGGCGGCACGGGACAGCTGAGCCTTGGCCTTCTCACCGAGAATGGCAATATCGGCGTTGGGGTTCGCGGCCAAAATACGGCGGGTAGCCTTGCTCAGACCGGAGTGGATACCACCGCAAAGACCCTTGTCGGAGCTGGCAACAACCAGAAGAGTCTTTCCTTCCTCCAGAGGCTTGGTCTCGGCCTGCTCGAAAACGGTGTTGGAGGTTTTACCGTAGACGCGGGATTCGTCCATGGCCCGCTGGGCACGGGTGAGACGAGTGGACGCAACAACCTTCATGGTGTTGGTGATCTTCTCGATGTTCTTGATGGACTTGAGACGGCCCTCAATCTCACGCAGAGTCGCGAAAGTGGCGGCATTGGCGGGGGCAGGGCTTGATTTCGCAGTCAGCAATTGTCGTTTTCACCTCCTCTAACGTCCAGCATATCTTCCAGCTTCAATGGTGTCGAGGTGGTTGCGTCGGAGTACGTCGGGTGGAAGGACTTTTGGCACGAGGTATCGGATGAAGACTTACCGAGCGACAGCGGCACCACCAGCCCGCAGGGCCGGGCGGACGGCACGGGAGAACATTATGCGAGGGATTTAAAGAGAAAAGAGAACGAGCAGTTAGTGACTGCGGAGAGGAGGGGTGTGACGAAGGTTAGACGGGGATGCCTCGCTGGTCGGGAAGGAAGTTGAGAACCAGGGAGGTTCTGTCTCCGTGCTGCCGCTAAACCAGAAAGGGCAAGCATCTACGGTGCGCCATTCCGACTTCCACCGCAGTGATGCCTCAGGCATTCAGTATTTACATAACATCACTTGGCGCCTCAGGCACCTCCCTGTAGTCCCTCAAGGCCTCTTTTCCCATTCCATTCCTCCATTCCCAAGTCCCCCAACCTTTCTCTCTCTTTCCTCACGTCTTTCCTCACCTCTCGACTCTATTCCTCCGAATTCACCCGCAACTTCCCCCCTTATGCATATATCATTGATGCAGCATATCTATTAATCCTATTCTTACTCTTCATTGGTCAGAATTTCCTTACTTTCCTCCTTCTCCCAGGCGGCTCGATTCACCCGACTAGGCGCACGAGGACGCCTCCCCTTACCAAAACATCGATTTCTCTCATTTTACCCTCGACTACCTGTTGCTAGTCCAAGGACTACCATTATGAGCTCTTCAGAGGACGACGCACCCCTCATGCGCGTCAATGGACGTGGTAAAGGTACGCTCCTCGGGTGATTCGGTTGTGGTCATGCACCTCTACAATTTGTCGCGAACCATGGCTTTCCTTGCACTTCACATTCTCACATCTTCATCTCCTCTACTTTCTACACAATTGTATTTTCCATATAGCTCAGTGCTCGAAGGCATATCTCGCACTTTGACGTCACTTCCTTCACACTTCCAACATAACTCGAACGGCATTCTAACAAAGCTTTTTCTGCACTTCTAGTCTCGCCAAAGTCTCCCGAGGTCGTCAAAATGGCGGATCCTAGCCCTACCACGAACGGCTATGTTGAACCTGGAATATCCATCCGATTCGGTCCTGTGGAAGACAAAGATGTGAAGATGGAAGATGGCGATGATGCGCTAGGTGCCAGTAAGCGCAAGTCTCGGACTAGTGTGGGCGAAAAGAAGTCCTACGCAGAAGCGGAAAGCAGCGAAGAAGATGAACCTTTGGTACGCCTACCCCCCATCGTGGGATGACCTTTGTTATTCCCAGTGCGACCATACCGTCGCTTTCGGTTGAAGCGTCTGACCATTCGACAGAGCAAACGCCGGCGTACATCGGTGAAACATGAAGATCCTGAAACCGATGATGATGTGCCCTTGGCACGCAATGGGCGCAAGCTCCCGAAGGCCGCGGAAACCTCAATCGGGGATGAGTCTGACTCTGACGTCCCCATTGAACGGAAGCTCGCTGCGCAAAAGAAGAAAATTGAACAAATGGCGGAGCAGGAGGCCAAACCTTCGCGCAAGCCTGCCGCAGCGAAGAAGGAGGCTAAGCCTGCCGCAGCCAAGAAGCAGGCCAACGGCGTTAAGAAAGAGCCGGCCGCCAGCAAAGCCGCCCCCAAGAAGGGCAAAGCGAAGACCGCCGTGAAGGCAGAAAGCCAGGACGCCGAAGAGAAGGAAGAGGAGGAGGACGAATATCGCTGGTGGGAAGACCATACCAAGGGCGATGGAACCATCAAGTGGACAACTCTGGAACACAATGGTGTGGTGTTTCCTCCCGAATACGAACCGCTGCCCAAGAATGTCAAGATGAAGTATGATGGTGTTCCGGTCACTCTTGAGCCTGAAGCCGAAGAGGTTGCTGGCTTCTTCGGCACCATGCTCAACTCAACTCACAACGTGGAAAACCCTGTGTTCCAGAAGAATTTCTTCGGAGACTTCAAGGAAGTCATCAAGAAGAGCGGCGGAGCGAAAGACCCCAAAGGCAACAAAATAGACATCAAGGAGTTTGCCAAATGCGACTTCAAGCCCATCTTCGAATTCTACGAAGCTCAGCGTGAAGAAAAGAGACATCTGCCACCAGCCGAGAAGAAGGCTGCTAAGGCTTTGAAGGATGAGCAAGAAGCTCCGTACCAGTTCTGTATTTGGGATGGTCGCAAGCAGAAGGTGGGCAACTTCCGCGTGGAACCGCCTTCTCTGTTCCGAGGCCGCGGCGAGCACCCGAAGACCGGGCGTGTCAAGACGCGCGTGCAACCTGAGCAAATCACCATCAATATCGGCAAAGAGGCGAAGGTCCCGCCACCACCTCCCGGCCACAAGTGGAAGGAGGTGAAGCATGACCAAGAAGGCACCTGGCTTGCCATGTGGCAGGAAAATATCAATGGCAACTACAAGTACGTCATGTTAGCCGCCAATTCCGATGTCAAGGGACAAAGCGATTACAAGAAATTCGAGAAAGCCCGTGAACTCAAGAAGCACATCGAGAAAATCCGCAAGGATTATCAGAAGAACCTCAAACATGATATGATGGTGGAACGGCAGAAGGCCACGGCAGTCTATCTTATTGATCAGTTCGCCCTCCGTGCTGGAAACGAGAAAGGCGAAGACGAGGCCGAAACCGTCGGTTGCTGTTCTCTGAAGTACGAGAACGTTACGCTGAAGCCCCCCAACACTGTTGTCTTCGATTTCCTGGGTAAGGATAGTATTCGGTTCTACGATGAAGTACAGGTTGATCAGCAAGTCTTCAAAAACCTGAAAATCTTCAAAAAGGCACCCAAGAAGAACGGCGATGAAATTTTCGACCGCCTTACTGTATGTTCACCCTCCCTCCTGCAATTGAATGTTACTGACAAATAAAAGACTTCTGCCCTCAATAAGCACCTTGCCAACTACATGCCAGGTTTAACCGCCAAGGTCTTCCGTACTTACAACGCATCTTATACCATGGGCTGTGTTCTCAATGAGATGAATGCTACCGGCGGTACCATCGCCGAAAAGGTGAAAGCGTACAACGATGCCAACCGTAAGGTTGCCATCTTGTGTAACCACAAGCGCACCGTCACTGCTGGCCATGCCAATGCAATGGAAAAGATGACTGAACGGGTGGGTTTTCTCTATGCCACCCTCATGGGCAGAGGCACAGTGCTAATATATGTATACAGATCAAGGGCCTTCGATACCAGAAGTGGCGGCTGAAGCAGCAAATGCTTGACTTGGACCCCACTCTGAAGAAGAAGAAGGGCGCAGCGTTCTTCGAAATCGATGAGGATCTCGACCAAGAATGGATCCAAGAACACCAAACCTTTTTGATTGAGGAGCAGAGAACCAAAATCACCAAGAAGTTCGAGAAGGACAACGAAAAGCGCGTTGCTGATGGCGAGAAGGAAATGAAGGCTTCTGAGCTTGAGGAGCGTCTGCAGGTCGTCAAGGAGATGGAGAAGAAGTTCAAGAAGGAGAACAAAACTGGCAAGGTCGAGGTCGAGGCCAAAGGCGCCACGGTTGAAAAGCTCGAGGGTTCCATCACCAAGATCGACCAGCGGGTCGAAACCATGTCCGTCCAGGCTCAGGATAAGGAAGACAACAAGGAGGTTGCCCTAGGTACCTCGAAGATTGTGAGTTTCTCTGGTCTGGCCCTTACAGCATCACCAGCTAATCATTCTCATTAGAACTACATTGATCCTCGTCTCACTGTCGTCTTCAGCAAGAAGTTTGACGTCCCCATCGAAAAGTTCTTCTCCAAGGCGCTGCGTGAGAAGTTCGAGTGGGCCATCAAGTCCGTTGAGGAGGACTGGGAATTCTAATCTATCTCCCATAGCTTTGTTTATTCGGTTGGGATCCCTGTCTTTCGCGCGCATTACTTTCTTCGTACAATATTTTCGGTTTCGCTCGGCCTGGCTTGCAAGACGAGATGATTTTCTTTTGTTTTTCAAACGATTCTTTCAAATCTAGCTGTTGATCCACTCGGATCCCTGATTGCATTCGCATACTTGAGAAAGAATCAGCGTTGCTATCGACGTTTTCATGATTTTCGTTATGAGAGGCTTGGCTTAGAGTGCGAGCCTGCATTAGTGGTGGCAGTGGGTACGATATGATCGGTATACACAAGCAAGTATACATGATGGAAAAAAAGAAAACCCCGGAAAAAAAACACATCACAAAAGACCCATCGATTCGGTTGGCTGGTTGACTTTGTTAAATGCACACACTCATGCATGGCAGTCGGACATCTTGCACAGTTTCTGTTCCGCTGCTCTTCGTCATTTCAGTCATTGGGTTAGAAGTCTAGAACAATTCATTCCATCGTTGCTATTCAAATCTAGCATGAGTTGTTGTCTCCCTTGACTGGCAATCCAACGTAGTACTTGTTATGAGGTGACATGTAGGCCTATATAGCTCTTGGCCTTGGGTTGTGGGTATGTCTCTGCTGCACAACATATCTGCAGGGTCTAAGCATAATGCACAAGAATGGGACTAGTGCTGTATTTCTAGTCCCAATGTACTCCTCCGTACACAATGTCTGATACATACAGATTAGAAGTAAAAGAACAGTGATTTAAGATGGAAATGGAATATTAGGAAACCACGGAAGGGCTAAATATGCTGCCAATGCAGGGCCATGCAAAATGTAAAAAACACGAGGCAAGAAACTGGAATAGAAACATGCAGAAATCAATGAGAAAGCCCCCCATATAACAGGGATTATCAATTACAGTACAAGGCTAGATTCACATCTAGCGATGCTAGACAGATCTGTCTGGATAAATAGCTTCAGAGGTAGTCAGAGAGATGAGATGGCAGGAGAGCGTAAAGAGATGCAGATCATGAGATGGTCGTGTCGTAGGGGATTCAATGCACCCTTTTCAGACACAAATGCGATGACCAATATTCGTCGGGTAAGAGAGACCGTTAATGAATCATGGAAAATAAATAGAAAGATAGAAAAGAGTAAAATAACCGACAGACGGGATATCTTCAAAGAAAAAGAAAAAAAAAAACAGAAAAAAGACGAAACCCCCAAAAAGCAAGTGAAGCCCTCTCTCATGGCCACCAGCCCATGCGCTTATAGCTGTCCACAATTTCGCGGACACTATCAGCCCCGAAATTCGGGTACATTGGCTTCCAGCCAACCTCAGTCTCGAACTTCGACCCGTCAAGAGACATGTCCTCATCCTTAAGAGTATCACGTTCCAAGAACGGACTGATCGGTCCAGGCCGGGTGATATTAGCTCTCTCAATGAGCTCAGCCCAAGTCTGCAACCCGACCTCATTCATATCATCAACGACATCATCAAGATTCAGCTTCGCAAGCTGTGAAGCAAGCGACCCGATAAACGAAACCTTAAGACCAAAGACCTCCGTCAAAGCCTTAGCAACATGTTCCTGTTTCGTATCATTGTGATCAACAACATTGAAAGCAACAACCCCATCCTTGGGGTCAATGAACCCCTTCCCAGCGCGCCACTTAGCAGCCTCAAACAACGCGCTAGCAGCATCCTTCACATGCAGGGTATTAATTTTCAGATCCTTCGTATGCAAGAAAACCAAATCCTGCTTAAGATCGACATGAACGGCAGAAAGACAAATACCCGTTGCGAAGTAGCCGGGGTCATAGGCTCCGTAAACGTGGGGCAGACGGAGGGCGCAGTACTGCAGATTTGGAATTTTGCGTAATTCATCCGCGGCCTTTAGTTTCCACGCGGCGAGTTTATGCCAGGGTGCGAGTTTGTCTGTTTCTTTGCGTGGTGTTGAGCCGCCCTTGTAGACGTGCGCTGTGGAAGTCTCGATGAAGGCGGGGATACCGCGTCGGGCGATTTCTTTGCCGAGGGCGAGGGTAAGGGCGTAGCTGCGCACTTCGTAGACGTCGTCGGGTTGGGAGTGGCGTGTTTCGCCGCCGCAATTGATTACATAGTCGAATTGTTTGCCGTTTGCTCTGTCGAAGATGCGCGGGAAGTGTTCTGGATGGGGTGAGAATTTTGCTTTGGGGGATTTGTTTTGGGAATTGGGGTATTTACGTTCACGGCTGGCATCTGCCTGGACGAATTTGTCCTTGGAACATGCTTCTTCGAATTCGGGAGCTAGCCAGGCCAATTGTGGGAGGACTTTGTCTACTAAGCGGACTTCTGAGGCTAGGTTGTTCTCGTGGAGGTATAGTGCGAGGTGTCGACCGATGAAGCCTGGGGATGTTAGAGAGTAAGTATATAGGATAAAGGAAGAAACATACCGAGGCCACCGACAATTAGAACGGCGGGTTTGGCGTCAGCCATTTTGGATGTGAAAGAAAAAAAAGGTCTCCCCACAGGTTCAGGAGAAAGGGGGTAGAAAGGAGGGGGGGCGGACTAACAAACGAATCCAAAGAATGTTAAAAAGAATATTAGGAGAATATATTATTAGACAGAATTCAAAAGAAAAGAAAAAAAAAATTACAAAATTAATATTCGGGATTCGCATCTCCCCTGCCAAGCCGGTTAACCCACGACGTTTGACCAGAAGTGGGTTATAGTGGGAACAATTAGCATCTATCTGTGACGTCGGGGAGATGTGAGATTGTGTTATTTCATTTTACTAGTCCATTTGATACAATATGTAGTATACTATGTGATACTATGTGATGCTGAAGATACTGAAGATACCTATACATCGAGTAGATCTCTTTGTCCCATGGTACTGGGTTTCCGATCACCCGAACCAAAGATGAGCCTCTCCAGTGCTTAATTTGACCTGGGTATATCTCGGCTATTTCAACTTTTCTACTGATCTCGGGGCTAACTAAAATGTTGTAGGTGAAGTCATTCAGTATACATCTAGTTCCTAGATGGAATCACTAGAACCAAATTCCAAGATATCACTTCCTTTTATATTGAAGGCATACTGTTCTTCATTATTCTGAGAGTTGGGATTGAAAGTTCACGAGAACGGACCTTCGGGCACGAAATACAATCAAAAGACGACGGGACAAGGGTGGGGCACTTGGTAATGGGTGAGCAGCGGGTGAACGGCGATCTTGCGGGCGCAGCAATCGAACAGGGAAATATCGGAGATGAGCGGCTTATTGGTGGGGGGTCCACGTCTAGCTCCGTGGAGTCTCCTCTAAGGGCCAGCAGATGGACGTATGGAACGAAACTCAACTGAAGATTAGAGGAATGTCGCAATATCAGATACTTGTTGGCAAATATCCTGCAAAAACGGACCTTGGGACACTGTGGTACAGTCTCTTGCCTTTTCTATTATCACATGCTGCTAGAGTCCCTGTATTGATAGACAGATATCTTCTCGACTTCTCGAGGTCTGTACAACGAGTCTAAGAGACCAGGGGGGGATTCTAAGGTAACAACATACATTTAGCTACACCTAATCTAGACCTGGCGGGAAGGTCAATGCCAACAAATCTGGAATATATTGCTTCGGGAGATAGGGCCGACATATGCAAATTGCGGACTGTACTCCGGTCAAATACAATACAATACAATTTCCTAGCGGAACCTCGAATGGAAATGATAAATATGAGACAGTTCCATATTAAACAAGAGTTACACTGGTCAAAACCAATACGTTTCATAATAGCCAAAGCAAGGTATATTCATAGTGCTCTAACAAGTGGAAGAGGAAGCAAAAGGTGACATCATACAAGCCTATAATCACGATGCGCCGAGACACTTGAGCGAATTCCTGAGCTCCTTAATAGCAGTATCAACATCATCGAAAGTCAAAGCAGAGACCGCCCAACGAGCATGCTTCTGCGCCAATTGCACCGAGCTATCGTCTATACCATGTGATGGCTGGGCCGGGACATAGGGAGCCGGTTGCACCGGAGCGTGGGCAAGAGGGGACGGAGTAAATGTCGGAGCAGCCGGAGGTTGGATAGGAGCAGGAGCACTAGCAGCTGGGGTATCGTAGAAAGAAGCCGGGTCTGGCGCGGACACGGACGGGTCCTCGGATGGCGGAGGGAAGGAATGGAATGCAGTCGGGGTATCTGGGAGTTTAGGTACTGAGGACGACCCGCCAATGGTCGCTGGAGTTGATGGGAGCTCTAAATCGCCCGTGCTGGGATCATCAACATCCATCGGTTGCGGGGGAGAACCAGGTGCGTTGCGAGGAACAGAGGGGATCTCAGGCGGGGGACGAGGTGTTGACGATGTGCGTGATGGATGAAGTGATTCATTGAGAGTTGATTTCCGTGCTAGCTCTCGTGCAACACGGTCAGACTCGTCTGGGATTTCTTCGATGGAGGGTTGTCTTGGCTTGGAGGCCTGCTCCGCTACCGACTCATCAAATGCCTGAACATCGGGATCGTCGGCGAGGTCTTCATCCTGCTTTGGTGCGGGATTTGTCTCATTGGGATCTTCGCCAGCTTTGAAAGCCTTAACAATCCGGACAGCGTGAAATTTGGCAAATTTAATCCGCCCAGCAAGTTCTGGGTCCAGTGGCCCCCAGATCGAACAAAGTTCGAGGAATGTGGCTGCTGCCAGGAAAGTATCTGCCGTTTGCCTTTTTTGGGTGATTAGCCATTGGTAGTTCAAAGCATCAATTGGAGAGCTCACTTCGTGACTTTGTTGGCGTTCATGGCGGCCTCGGCACGTCCAAAGACCTCCAATCCGAATTGCTCGACATATGCGCTCGCCGCAACGGTGTCTGTCACTGTATCGTTCTCTGGGTTTTCTACTTTGAACTATTTCAAGCCAATATCATCAGCTGCTAGATCTCAAGCGCAAGATGCGGAATATAGACTAGGAAGGGAACGAAGATGGCTCACCTGCTCCAGTTTGTCCACAAGGTTTGTCGTGTAGAGTTTGATCTCATCATCAGAATTGTGAAGACCCCTTTCAATGATCTGGTTTACAATATGGAAATTGCCTACATAATTGGGGTTCAATCAGCTCAAATGTTCAGTTGTGTTCTTCGCGGGGTCTCGCAACTCACACCAATAGGCAACCACAGGTTTGGCCTTCTCAATCTGGGCTGCTCTGATGGCAAATCGCCCGATATCTGCCGATCGCAATCCAGCTGGGATGTTACTCGCCATGGTTCAAGATGTTGTGTTAAGGAGAAGATGGTGAACGAATGACGTTTGGAGCTCGCGGAATTCCCACCGCCCGTGTGCGGGGGCGGATCTTATCGACCTCTTATCTACTGGTCTTTAAACGGTTTGGAGATCTATGAAATGGACACTATTTCATGATATGTATGTACTATATATTTATGGCTGTACTGGGTATCATTCATCTTCAATTGCCCACTTTCCAATCTCCACTCTCTCCTCCGCCAATGCTTCCACTTCAAAATGATCCTCCACCTGCCCTCCTGGACCCCCAATACGCTCAATGACAATCCATGCATAGCGTGATTCAGCGCTGGGTAGCAAATCGAAATCATCAACTCGTACCCCGGACGCAGCATCGCTGTGAGTTCCATCCTCCGAGGTGGCCAATATCTCCTTGTACGGCCCCTGGCCCAGTTCCACGGTCATCAACACGGGAGAGGGAGCAACCGCGCGAGAGCCGATCATAGACCGCTTATTCCTCGCAATAAGTCGGATCCGTGTCAAACGAGAGACTCGTAGTGACGCCAGCATCCGGTCCTTGCCCGGAGCCAAAACACCCACTTCGGACAGGACGGCGCGCCGCCCAGCAGACTCGGACACCAAGGGCTGGACTACACACGGGATCGTGGATGAAATCCATAAGGTGAAGCGGCCAAGCTGGTCAGGTGCAAAGGTGGAGCAGACGATGGTGTAAGTGCCTCTTTCCAGTGATCTGGTCTCGGCCAACGCACAACCGCGACGGTAATCGCCACTATCTGCAATGATGTCTCGGCTTCGCACGCGCGATATGCGCTGCCCGTTTGACCAGAAAATTTTCACGTGGGTTGCTAGCTCTGCTTCAGTGGTCTCGAGCAATATCGAGACGTCTGTCGGTTCGGAGATTCGTATACTGAATTGCGGATTGGAGTGGTATCGAGGTGACTCGGCATTTCCGCCCGCTGTCATTGCCGTCCAGGATCCACTTGCCTTATTCAAGCATAGATATTTATCTAGCGAGGGTGCCACGGAGACAGGGGCAGTTGAGAAAGCAGAGAGTGTAAAATTCTGAGTGGATGATGGGAGTGATTGCTCCGAGACCACTGCGGTGTAGGTCGACTTGAGAGGCATTTCCAGCCTCATAAGCGTGTTGGGAGAGTCGACATATGGTCCGCGATGGAGCGCGCCATCACTGAGGGATACTCTTCGGCCATCTGCTTTGAAGATGTAGATGCTGATAAAGCCTATTTCATTTTCCGATCCCGCAGAACTGAATTGTTGATGGTCTGTCTTAAAATGCTTCCCGAGCAGCAGCCAGACCGTTCCTCCTGAATCACTGGAGATGGAGAATTGGGGGTTCTTCACGAAACACCCGGCGATAACTCGGCCATGCGATAAATCCCAAGTGAAGTGTATATCCTCACGGTATTTGAACAGACCAGGATTCCAGTTAAGGTAAAGATTCTCGAAATTTTGGAGAACTTGTTCACAGTCCATCCAGAATTTCCCTGGGGAAAGGGGAGGTTTGTCAGTCAGGTCGAGTGAGCCGAGGTCAGCCGTAAGACTGCTTTGTATACTGGGCTCTGCACCAGCCCATGGGTTCTTCAAAAGAAACTGTCGACGACCCTGGACTTCCTTCATGTCCAGGATAGCATAATCGTGCTCGCCCACTAGCCCTAGGCCCTGTTGTTCCCGTTCCGTCAACTTGCCAGTGCCGATAGTCAAAACCACATCGCCATGCCAGAAGGCATTGTACAAACGCCCCCAGATCTCGTCGGAGGTCGAATCGTCGTGATGTAAAAATACTTGTTCTGGAATCCAACCAGTAAGCACCCAAAGATCGGTCCCTGAGTTACTTCCTGGGAAATCATAGCCTCCGCGGACCTTCAAATAGGCCTTCTCCACAAGAGCAGGCCACAAAAAGTTCGAGTTATTGCGATCGATAACGTGGAGTGAGCGTGTAGTCTTCGACGATGGCAATCGATCATCTATCAGTACCTTTCGGAATGATCCATTGAAGTAGAAGCGAAATATGTACTTCCCAGAAGGTGAAAGTATCGGGTTCTTTCCCTCACTGCATGGGTACAGTTTTGGCGATGCATGCTGTTCAAATTAGCCTTGAGGACTCCTCGACGGAGAAAGAAATTAGTCCATACCTGTCCTAAGCCTCTTTCCGATCGAGATGTTGTAGCACAGAGACTTGCGACCACTGAACAGTCTGTCAAGACATCCTGCACAAGATCTGTCTGCCCCGAAGCCGACATGGCTGGATCAATTACACCATGTGCCTGGTTGGCTGCATTCTTTGTCTGTAACAAATCATGAGGCCGTTTCCAGCCTGCAAAAATTTCTCTCTGGCATTCTGAGAGGTGTAAATCAGGCGCATCCCTATACCGGGTTAGAAGAGATCAGCAATGGGTCATTTCTCCACATACGTAAAAGGCTGTCCTTTATATACAAACTCATCCTGCAGCGGTGCGCGACTCCATGGTGGAAAAATATAACCGTTGAGTTTGGCGCCCTCGAGGATGATGATTTCTTCACGGGTGGTGAGCTTCCGCGTGGATGCCGGTGGCCGTAAGCTAGGGAATGCTTTCTGGGGCCCCGCACGAGCAACAGACTGCCAGTCAGCAGCAGCCTTGATCTTCTCGGCTTTGGACAGCAATTCCTTGCATTTTGTGTCTAGTTGTTTTTTATCGTCGGGGGGCGCCAGGCGCCAGGCTTTCATGTAATATTCCGCGGCATTGATGGCCGCCTCCAATGCCGCTTTCTGGGAGGTCGCTGTGGCTACCGCCTCTTCAGCGCTCTATAGAGTCATTAGCTTCCTTCAAATATAAGTATAAAATAAAGGATACCAATGCTTGAGATATATAGGATGCAGGTCTAGACATACTTGCGTTGAGTAGTCGTGGAGCAGGTACGGAGTAATCAGATCGAACAGCAAGTAAATTACCGGATTTGGTTGAGCCGAGAGAGGGACGGACCCCCGTACGATTTTAATTCCGATGAATATTCCGAGATTTACATAGAGATAGATTTAATAAAACTATGAATATATATACACATAGATCAAAAATATACTAGAATGTACACTACATGTACCTAGATATGTTTGAAGAAGTGAAATAAATATACATGATGTAATGAACGTCATGACATAAGCTTAGACATAGTGGACCTCGGCTCACTTTTAAGGTGATAACGCCGAGGTGTTGTGAATTCCGGCTCATGAGCTCGGTCACTTTTTTTTATTCGGGTGACTTCGGTATGATCGTCGTCTTGTGTATTTCTCCATTGTGATATTTCTTCTATTTCACTCTCTCCGTTGTTCGGAGTAAAGCAGTGTAGAGCCCCGCTCAATATTTCTCCTGTCGCCCGGCCGCTAAGAGAAGCGAGCCCTTTTCCTAGATCCTATTCTTATTTGCGCTCCCTTGATTACGAATACCCTTGACCGACATCATGGCTGGTCAATCCAAACCTGTGCTGTCACCATGGGGCAGCGCCGTGGCAGGCGCAACAGGCGCCGTCCTGGCGAACGCATTGGTGTACCCACTTGACTTGTGAGGTCCCAGATAAAACAGTACTCAAATTATCAGACTAAAGCCCGCTGACTGTAGCGCTCGCAATATCTAGAGTCAAGACAAAACTACAAGTACAAGTCAAGGAGAAGAATGGACCCGTGCGAGCCGACGACCTCGAACATTATGAATCGACCATGGATGCTATCAACAAGATCGCGGGGAAGGAGGGCTTGAGTGGTCTGTACTCCGGAATGGCTGGAGCCCTTCTAGGTGTCGCCTCAACAAACTTCGCATACTTCTATTGGTACAGCGTCGTAAGAACGCTTTACATGGCTTCTGCCAAGTCGTCACAGGCACCCGGCACAGCGATTGAGCTCTCCCTGGGTGCTGTCTCCGGCGCCGTGGCTCAGATTTTCACCATCCCAGTGGCGGTTATCACAACCCGGCAGCAGACACAGCCAAAGGGCGATAAGAAGGGGTTGATCGAGACAGGTCGGGAGGTGGTTGAGAGCGAGGATGGCTGGACCGGCCTGTGGCGCGGCCTGAAGGCTAGCTTGATCCTGGTCGTTAACCCGGCCATCACCTATGGCGCATACCAGCGCCTAAAGGAAGTTATCTTTCCGGGGAAGAACAACCTCAAGCCCTGGGAGGCATTCCGTGAGTAGTGGGAATTCTGAGGGTCAAAAACGACTTGCTAATTATCATTTTAGTGCTTGGTGCCATGTCCAAGGCTTTGGCCACAATCGTAACCCAGCCTCTGATCGTCGCTAAGGTTGGACTGCAGTCTCGCCCACCGCCCAGCCGGAATGGCAAGCCTTTCAAGACCTTTGGTGAGGTCATGAAGCACATTGTTGATAACGAGGGTCTCTTTTCCCTTTTCAAGGGTATTGGACCTCAGATCCTGAAGGGTCTTTTGGTCCAGGGTCTGCTGATGATGACCAAGGAGAGGTATGTTTTTTATTTCCAAATTAGCATCTGCTTGTACTAACTTTCACAAAGGATGGAGCTTCTGTTCATCCTCCTGTTCGCCTACCTCAAGAACATCAAGAAGGATAAATTGCGCAAGGCAGTTGATTTGGCAGCCGAGAAGGCCAAGACCAGCATGCCTGCTACCCTGAAATAATTGTCTTATAGTTAGACGGAGGGATTTTCCATTTTCCTTTTCCAAACTGTGTTTACCTAACTGGCGCGTTGGTATGCTGTTGGCAATTCTGGTGGATTTTGAACAGTCTAGACCTCTCCCAGCTTTTTCTTGCTCGAAACACTTGATAGAACCATGTGTTTCTAGCTTTTCAATATCATTATAGATCTGTACATGGTCATGTCATGTTGCTTGCTTTTGCCCTTTGTAACCTTTATGCTTAACCAAATCCCATCGGCATTAAAAGAGCTACACCATGAATAGACCAAGGAGCTTGGCCCGTTATCGCAAGTTCAGCTTGGATATATACTAGTCACAGTAGCAAATAGTGCTTCTGCGGCCAAAGTTACCCCAAATCATAACTTTCAGGCTACCGAGAGTGTGGTAACTAGTAAAAGCTGTTCAGAACCTAAGTAGAATGAAAAACTCGAACAAACCGGGAGTAGGACGTTCTTTGAAAAGATTCCTCTAATATATTCTAAGGTTGTAGGACGCAGTTATAGTGCGTTGATGAATTGGTGGTTGTAGCTTTACCCGTGCAGATGATCTTTGCTTGACCGATCACCTTTACCCCAACAACCACCCTCACCAAAAGCTCGTTCTCACACGTAAACTTGTCACACAAGTGGCATGGGTCGTGATGCGATGGCCGCCATGGAGCTCCGAGTCGACCAATGACGAACAAAAACAAACACCCAGCTCCTGGTTCTCCTCCGCGGCAAACAACCCGAGTTCCATCCTCGACTGGACAGCGTTCACAGAAGCCAGAACCATTCTGCCAACCCTCGTCCTAACAAGCGGCATTCTCATTGCAGTGCGCTTCCACCGCCGCTACCTACGACGCATCCCCGACGCGCCTAGCATCTCGTCCTCATATCTTCGACGGCGGAGCATCTTCGGCCCAGTTACCAGCGTCGGCGATGGAGACAATTTCAGAATATTCCACACACCAGGTGGCCGTATGGCTGGGTGGGGCTGGCTACCGTGGAAAAAGGTTCCTACTGCGAAGAAGGATCTGAAGGATAAAACCGTTCGTCACCTACCACCCATTTTCCCATCAGCGCTCTTAGCCCGCAACAGGCATAATTATGCCTCGGCATATAATATACCACTATTCCATTCTCCATATCTACATCTAGTTTACATATTTACTCAAACCCAGATCCACATCCGCCTCGCTGGCGTCGACGCCCCAGAACTAGCCCACTTCGGCCGCCCCGAACAACCTTTCGCGCGCGACGCACACACATGGCTAACATCCTACCTATCCGGCCGACGGATCCGTGCCCTCGTTCACCGCCAGGACCAATACTCGCGCGTGGTTGCGAGTGTCTTCGTCCGGCGCGCATTTGACTTCCCGCCATTCCGTCGGCGGGACGTTTCATACGAAATGCTGAAGCGCGGCTTGGCGACTGTCTACGAAGCAAAGGTTGGCTCGGAATTTGGTGGTGACAAGATGGAAAAGAAATACCGCAAGGCCGAGTGGTGGGCTAAGAAGCGAGCCAAGGGTCTTTGGAAGGATTATGGTCGCGTCGGGTCTGGTTGGGAGAGTCCGAGAGAGTACAAGAATCGGATGGGCATGGGAGATCCTCTTCCGATTGAGAAAGGGAATGGAAAGGGGAAGACCGGGCAAAAATGACCGAGTCGCGGTACGGTGGGCTTGTGATTATGGCTATGAGCGTTTATATGTTGTTTTTATGTTCTGGCATTTACATTTGCATGCGACGAGACGACACGACTACAATCTCATTACACAGCGTTGTACATGTATGGCTGGTATGCGAGGATCATGATCTAAACTTTGAATGCTCAATATGATACACCAAGTCGCGTTAAGCTATACATGCACGGGGGGTGGTGTTGTCCTCAAATCAGGCCCCAATTGCTAAACGGGCATTAAGAATCGCGTGGTCTCCCGAGAGGTTGGAGGAATACAAGAAAGGAAGCCAGTATACAGGCTATTATTTGCTCAGCAAAACCGTCGCTCAACCTCGGCAAACAGCTTTGGCGTGATTTCGTCGGAGCTATTACCCTCCGCACGGAATAGACACTGCAGACGGTCATAGTGCTCCAGGAGACATTTGCTCGTCTCCTCGAACTTCCGTAGACGCTGCTTCCATGTATCGAGAGAATCGTCCTCTCGCTGTGTCAATGGCTCGCCCGTGACATCGTCTCTGCCCGCCACCTTTGGTGGATGGAAGTCTGTGTTATACACGCGCCCTGAGGGCTCGTGGACCCAGCGTGATGCAATGCGAGCGAGGATCACCGATGGCGGGGTAATTAGGTGCACGACGAAGTTGACTGGTACTAGGGTGTCCAGGGTTGCTGCCTGAGTTGCGGTGCGGGGAAACCCGTCGAGGATGAACGAGGCAGAGGAATCGATTGAGTGGGCCGAGGAGGAAGTACCGGCCGGGGAAGAAGATGACGAGGATGCTGAGGATAGTACTGAGGATTCGGTTGGTGGGAGGAGCCAGCCCTTGGATTTCATATCATTGGAGATCAAGTTCAGGATCATTGAGTCGGGAACAAGGTTGCCGGACTGCATTGCGGCCTCGGCTTCCAGGCCTGTTACTGAGGTTAGAGGTATTGACTCCGTACGCAATTAATTATTGCACCGATGCTGGTTCTACTTACCGAGGGGTGTGCGTCGGCGCACATTCTCTCTCAACAGATCACCGGAGCTGATTGAAGCCAGCTGTGGGAATCGGGCTAGCAGTCGCTCGGACTGTGTTCCCTTTCCTACCCCCGGTGCGCCAATCAAGATGATCCGCGCAGCCTTACGGAGCTGCTTTGTCGTGTGCGACATTATGTGTTTTGGCTGTGTTGATAGCTCGTGGAGGGGTTAAGGTTGCTGGTCCTGGCGAACTCAACAGTTCAAATGTTGGGGATGCGGAGGAACCAGGGGAAGTATTGTGGACAAGATCACGACAGCATAATGGATTGGAAGAAAAAGAGTTGAAGCCTGGGGTGAGAGGATAAGCAGTCACATATCCCCAGGACTAAGATTGAGAATGTGATTCTGTGGGGGGTAGGTTGATCCTTTCGGTTGTCGGTGAAGACTCCGAGGGAAACTGGATATGTACGGCGTATATAGCAGCACTCAAGTTTAAGTAGTTATGAAAAGATTATACATATGTTTCATAACATAACATTATTGCTTGTACTCCAAGAAGATTAAGCACTTTATATATCTGACTATGCTCGGTATACCCAGTTTCACATGTCCCTGCACATCTCAGACAACGCACTGTTCGGGGAAATCATCACCCGTAAGCACCCCAGGGGCCCCCGGGGGACTGCCGGGGCCGGGGTATTGTATTATGTAAGGCACACCAAATGCCGGTTTTATTTCACGTGATTCTACGCGTGCGACGCGTTCGCGTTCACCAATTTAGCACGGAGATCTTATATTCGTTTCTCGACAACAGAACACAATACCTACAAGATGATTCGACAGGACGCCCATCGTATTGATCCTAAACGAAGGGCTGTTATTGACCCTAAAAAAAGACAATTCGCTACTCCAACATACAAGCAGCAGGACTATGCGCACCGTCTGAACATTTATGAAATACCTCCTACCGCGGAAATCACCCTCGAGCAATTCGAGCAATGGGCCATTGACAGACTGAAGAGTACGCACATTTGTACATTCATATTATCATTCTACCTACTAATAGCGAACAGTCTTGGCTGAGATTGAAGCATGCTCTTATCGAAACAAGTCCCCCGCCGAGACGGCGACCTACATTACACCTCTTCTGCAGAAATTCCTCCCTCTTTCCTCCAATACCTCCTCCCCCTCTGGCGCTGCAGACCCACGTTTGAAAAATGAACGTCAAAAGGACCACTACTCTCATTTCATCCTCCGATTGGCCTTCTCCGCCACAGAAGACCTCCGTCGACGATTCGCCCGCGCCGAGACCATGCTGTTCAAATTTCGTTTCCAGCAGGACGACTCCAGGGAGAAGCGCGCATTCATTGAAAGCTTGAATCTCGATTGGGAACCTGTAGGTGACTTTGAGAAGACGGAGATTGTGGAGAGTCTCCTCAGTTCTACGCCAGGCCTACGTCGGTCGGATGATGAGATCTGGTATAAAGTCGACTGGGAAAAGGTTCCCGAGTTGATCGAACGGCGCTCAGTCTTCCTGAAGAAAGGAAAGGCTTACGTTCCTGGTCGAGAGCAGCTGAGCATGATCACGGCTGAGTTTACCGCTCGCTTGGAGCGCGCACTCGAGGTATGTCTGCATTGGTGACTTGATAGCTTAAAATGTCGTGGCTGATTGGATTCTAGCTCACGAGTCGTGCCCCCCCCCGCCTGGACGAGGATGATCGTCTAACACCCATTCTGAACCATCTTTCAAAGAACTTTGGTAGCGCGGAGTCAGTGTACTCGGAAGGCGAAGGATATGTGGACGGATCTCCGATCACGGCCAGCTCCATTGACCAACTGGCCCAGCAGCATTTCCCATTGTGCATGAAGAGCTTGCACGTGAACTTGCGCAAGAACAACCATCTGAAGCACTTTGGTCGACTCCAGTATACGCTGTTCCTGAAGGGCATTGGCTTGTCCTTGGAGGAGTGTATTTTGTTCTGGCGTCAGGGATTCAAGGGCAAGACTGATGACGAGTTCAACTCTCAATACAAGTACAATATTCGTCACGCCTATGGCGAGGTCGGTGGAGATGTGAACCGTCGTGGAAAGGGATATACTCCCTACTCGTGCCAGAAGATCCTCGGCGACTCAAATCCCGGCATTGGCCAGACTCACGGCTGTCCCTATCGCCATTACTCCGTTGATAACCTGGTGGGCTTCCTCCAGGCCACTGGCGTCAGTGACAAGGAGGTACTGCGGGGTGTGCGTGAGGACGTTGGTAAGATGCGGTATCACATTGCTTGCAACAGAGTGTTCGAGGCGACACACAAGAACGAGATCAAGAAGGTCAAGGAGGATGGATCGTGGAGTCAGACTGACCTTGACACGATTGTTCACCCGAACACATACTTCAAGCGCAGCTTCCTGTTGAAGCAGATGGCCAAGGCCCCCAAGGAAGCTTAGGGCGTCTTTTCACATGTCAAATTTTCATGATGTAATGTCGGGTTGTCTTTCAGTTTTCACGCGTTTTCTTTGCTAGTTGGAGTTTAGAGGGAGCATAGGCTTGTACGAGCACATACGCAGGTTCAATTGAAGCACAATAATATATATTCTAACAATTTATGGTATACAAAATGGGAGTGTGACCACAGCTGATTCCCAGAGAATCGGAAAGGATCAGAATGACCTCTCAAATCCAGGTGCCCAGCAACGGGTCAAGTCGTTCTCCGCTCAACGAGTAGACAACTTTGCCATGGAATGACGGAAGTTGTCGATAATAATATGTTTACACACATTGTAGGCTGGCGTGAAATTGAAGAAAGAAAAAAAGAGAGAAGAAACTGCGGACGAGCCGAGTTTTAATGATGTTTTGGTCCGGGACGCGGTAGAGACCAACTGTGCTGCAACCTGGCCTTACTCGCGGACCGGACCTCCACACAACATACTCCCCCATCTCGTTCATTCAATCCCGAGCTATTAACAGGGACTCTGATTTCTTTTGTGACTGGATTATGCTCCGGGAGGTTCACGTGTTTAGTTTCTTGGAGTAGACCCTAAATTACGAGGTTCCCTTTCCTCGCGACTTCTCAATACCCGCATATACCCCCTCCCTTGGTCAACACAGGACCGAGTCCGGAACATCTACCGACATCATGGATTACGAAGCGCTGAAGGATCAATGGAGCGATGTGGAGGACCGCGATGGCCTCAGACTCAGTTGGAACACTTTCCCGAGCACTCGCATGGTTCGTGATAGTGATCCTCCTTGGCCTTCACCGCATCATCAGCTGATACTTGATATAGGAAGCGTCCCGTTTAGTCGTTCCCATCGCCGCCGTCTACACTCCGTTGAAGGAGAAGCCCGATGCCCCTTTGCTACAATATGAGCCCGTTACTTGCAAGCAGCCCTGCCGAGCTGTGCTCAACCCATATGCGTACGTGATGTGGTGGTCTGATATACCTCAATGCGTAGCTGGACTAACGTTTGGACAGCACTGTCGATGTCCGCGCACGACTCTGGATCTGCCCCTTCTGTCTGTCGCGCAACCCTCTCCCTCCGCATTACAAGGATATCACGGAGAATACGATACCCCCAGAGCTCCACCCCCAAAGCACGACGATCGAGTACCAATTGGCACGACCAGCCCCCGCTCCCCCGATTTTCGTCTTCGTCGTCGATACCTGCCAGGAGGATGACAGTCTCCAGGCCGTGAAGGATTCCCTCATCATGAGCTTGTCTCTTCTGCCACCTAATGCGCTCGTTGGTCTGATTACCTTCGGTACAATGGTAAGGAACGATGATATTCGCAAGGCAGGTGACATGTTACTGACCTTGATATATAGGCCCAAGTTCACGAGCTCGGCTACACCGAATGCGCAAAGTCATATGTGTTCAGAGGCAACAAGGAATACAACGCTAAGCAGGTTCAAGAGATGCTGGGCCTGGCCGGCGGTGTGCGCCCCGGTGTTCCCCAGCAACAGCCTCCCCGTGCTCCCCTTGGCCCGGCTGCTCGCTTCCTCATGCCTGTCCAGCAGGCTGAATT